CGCCTGCGCGGGGAGCGGCTCGTGGCTCGCGCTCAGGCTCGGCCTTGGGCTGTCTGCAGTCTCAGTGAGGGCGGCTGAAGTGGCAGGATTAAGATGAGGCTTTTGCTACTGCTCCTAGTGGCGGCGTTGGCCGTGGTCCGGAGCGATGCGTCGGCCAACCTGGGTGGCGTGCCTAGCAAGCGATTAAAGATGCAGTACGCCACGGGGCCGCTGCTCAAGTTCCAGATTTGGTGAGTACATGCGCCACTCCCCGGTCGCCCCGCAGCGCCTCCGCTCAGTGCTTCTCCCTAATCGAGGTCCCGGCTTTGCGGCCTAGCGGGCTGAACCTCCCTTGGCCCTGCGGAACGGCGCCAGGAGCCTTCCGCAGTCTGCCTTCTCTGGGGTCCTTCCTCAGGATGGCCAGGCCTCCCTCTGTTTCTCCAAGCACAACCTCTCACTTCATTTTTGGTTCCTAGAGTATTAGGAATGGGAAAGAGGGCACGAGGTTATATACCGAAAGGCGAAGACGCGGGGACACTTGTCCATACCGAAGACTGGTTGGCGGTGTCACGCCATGACTACCCCGGCTGCCTGCGGAGGTAGGCATGAGTCCGGGCAGCGTTGGCGGAACAGCTCCGAGCGTTGCTCACCCTGTTCACTTTTCCTCTCCCCTTTCCCGAGGTTTTGCCAGGAAGTCTCCCTGCTACACTAGGTGAAGGTTAATTCGGGTCTTTAGAGGGGACTCGAGAGTGGTAGACGCCTTTTTCTCCAGGACCTGCTGGAATGACTATGGAGTGAGGAAGTAGGGCTTTTGACAGCCGGAGGGCGTGGAGAAGCCTGGGGAGGCTGATTCTGTTTGCAATTTCCAGAATGTCTTTGAAAAGAAGCACGTTGCTTTTCTCATAACCGTTCGCTCCTGGACAACTGCATCTTCTCCCCCAGTCCCGCCTCCCAGGAGTTAGTTGCCTGCCCTGGCATCTCTTTCTATCTTTCAGATCTCTTTTTGTGCGTTCAGAGAAAGAGAAAGAGAGGGGAAAAAAACAAACCAAAACCAAAAAAAAAAAAAAAATGGTAATTTTCGATATTGTACTTTAATTGATTTTGTTGTTACCTAGTTAATTATTGGAAGCAGAGCAGTAATCAATGTAGTAAGGTTAAGTGGGGTTGGGGAAGGGTTGAAAGTCTCAAATGAAAAAAATTTGTAAAATTGCAGAAATTAGAATTTTGTATGGCAAAAGATGACGAGTGTTTTTCAGGATAGGATGGTCAGATTAGTAAATTTTCAGAGTCATGATACTTTGGAATACTGGTGTCGGCCATAATGCATTTAAAATCAGTTTTTTCAAACATCTTGTTTTAACATGTGTACTAAAGTTTAGATTTTTCTGCTTATCCAGCTGGCTTTTTGCTTAATCTTTAAAGACAAAGTAAATCTTTAAAAAAAAAATCAGTGTCCATTAAGAGTCAGAAAATAAGATGGTGAGACTTTATTTTTGGAGTGAAAACTAAAAACCTTGTAATTTTTTTTATTAAAAAAAAAAAAGCTCTCTGTACTGTTTACTATGTGTCCAGCATATACCATCTTTCATATATACTGCAAGTGGGAGTTTGGGCTTGACCATTCTGATTTTTTCCCATACTTTTTTTAAAATTAGAAACTGGCATTTTACTAACCTATAAATATTGTAATATTAGGTTTAAAGGTTTAAATATGACACTTGGATTTAAGTAGTTTAGAAAAAAGACTGCAGTTTCCACTTTATGTAATTTTTCTATTTTCTACTTTTGTATCTCTGGGTTTCACTTGTGCTTTTTACAAACTACTCTTATTTTACAGTTGCTTGTATTGGAATACTTGTCACAATAACAAGTGTACCATCCACTGAGGATGTTTATAACAAAGTTTTCAAAATGTGTATAACAGTTGTAGGGAAGAGCATTCAGTCTTTCAAATTAAACTTTTAAAAAGTCTTAAGTACTTCATTGCACTTTTAGTAGTATTTTTCAATTTAAGGACAAACTTGTCCCAAAAGTCTAATAAGGGTTTTCCTTTGAGTCATCCTGAGCACGTTACACACAAAAGTGCTTTTTTTTTTTTTTAAATCTATAAAAGAGAAACAGTTTTAATATGCCCTTACCAAATGCAGGTGAAGTTAGCTTGTTTGTTACTTTTCTCCACAGAGATTAATCTGTATATAGTAAGTTGAATATGGGGTTTCTGGTTTCATTGGAATCTGTTGGACATTCATTTTGCACGTTTGTTTAGGAAAGGAGGGGAAGCTAGGACAATTGAGTATAATAAATATGTGAAAATTCTTTAATCCTCTTTGAAATCTTAGTGCTGTAAAATGCAGTTTTTCATTAATTACTACTGTTAACAAAAGAAAGAACTATTTTTAACCTTCCTTTTGATTGCTTTTGTCCCTTATTATGAATACTCTTTCTTTAACTTTAGCTCAATATATCATCTTAATTGTATCACTTTTGTAATTGCTAAGAGAATAGCAACACAACCCACAAATGGAATTGAAGGGAGGAAGATTAAGCATGCAGAATAGCTTAAAATAAACTTTCCGATTCTGTGTTCATGTATTTTTTCCCAATAAATATTCGTTCAGTACTTGTTTGTGCCAGAGACTAAAGTGCTATGGTGAATAAGACAGGTATGCCTCCCTATGAAGCCTCCAAAGACGGCGCAGTATTACTTTACATACCTGAGTGTTTGGTTTATTATGTCAGTTGATTGAGCAGTAAAATTGGGTAAGTATGATGACATTCGTTT